TTTTTTTTTTTTTTTTTTTTTTTTTTTTGTTTTTTGCTTTATCCTTGGTTCAAGCCCTCAGCGACAAATTGCCGTTAGTTCATTGCTTTTCAATCGTTGTTGCTGCATTTGACTCGGTGGCAAGCCGCAAAAATGTGCGTTGGACCGCTTAAATTACAAGCGAGAAAGTTCACGCCTATTCAAACCGCAAATTATCTGATACTTTCAAGAGGCGGTTACGCGGTCAATGCAAATAATCGATCATTGATCGTTATCCGTGCGTGCGCGAGGAAGTTGTTAAAAGTCCTTTCACTATCGTACAAAACAGCAGCAGCAGCAGCAGCAGCAATCGTCAATGAAATAAACGTACATAAACGAAACTAACAACAATATTTTCCATATTATTTCTTATACGAAATTTCCTTAGTAATCTCATTCTAATGTATTAAACCAACAAAAAATAATATATACACATATATATATATATATATATATATATCAACAAAAACCTAACAAAACGAAAACATTTTATTCAAAATGAAAACTACAATTGTGCGCGTGCAATATTGTCACGAATAAGATGAGAGCATGTTATAATAGTATTTTTATCCTCTCATTTCAAACCCAGCCCACTTCACCCTGTATGATCCTCTCTCTCTCTCTCTCTCTTTCTCTCTAACACATAGAAGCCCTGTTTAGATATTAACGCGCTGTGCCCAATGTTCGTCGGAGGTTGTACCGCAGTGCCGGTTTATACGAATATACCGTGCCCCGTGGGAAGCATCCGGTCTACTGTAGCACGCATGTTGTACGAAGGAACAAACGAACGGGGCAGCAACGAGCAGTCGAAGCGAGTATTGCGTTGGTCTGTTGTTGGCCCCCGCGGGCTCTCCGGTATTAATACATTCCATTACAGTAGACAATGACCGGCTGAATGGATCTCTGACTCCTGATGAGCTTTTAGTTTCCCCTTCCCCCTTCCTTTCCCTTTCCCCTTCCCCGCCCACCACTCCAATAGCTATCCTTTACCAATGTATATGCTCTCTACCTACTCTCAGCCAACTCCTCCTCGCACGTCACCATCTAATTTAATACTCGACGACCTCGGGCCAAAGAAGATCGCACACCTGCTTTGCTTGAAGGATAAAACGTGCCCAACTAGACCCCTTTGGTTAGATCATTTGCGGTTTTGTTTTCTCTATCTTGATCGTTACTATCGCAATGACGGTGGTTTAAACTTATCTAACAGCGATTGACTGGAATTCTTTATTGGTTGGTAGTTATATTGCTTGGTTATTACTCTATCTCATAAAACTTGACTACATTTTACGTACGCGTCTTATTCCACGGTGATATCGTAAGAAAGTCATAACTTTATTAATATACCAATGACGATGAAATATATATATATATATATATATATGAGGAATATTTTGTTTTATAATTAACGTTAGAGTCTAGTAGTCATGAATATTTTTGATAAATTTTTCATGTTAAATAAACGTAATAGTAGCGATAATTAATGATGGTAACAAATTTCAATGATATAAATTTAACTCGATGGAAATGTAATTGGTAGAATAGAAACGGTTTATTATTGTGTTTTATTACACAAAATGAGATAACTTTTAAATTAAGTGAATTTTCAAGAGAAAGAATCAAAAGAAATGAATAATTAATGCAAGTAACAAGGTAACATTTAAAGGAAAACAACGAGATTCAATTGAACTCGGGTTATTATTAGATATATCAGTGGTGCCAACCTACGTTTTATTTTTCTGAAAAAGGGAGATTTAATTATACCAAAACTCTCGATTTCCTTTTCCATAACAGTCGAAGTTGGCCAAGAAATAGTAGAAGAAGAAGAAGAAGAAGTAGAAGAAGACAGGGAAGTATAATCATACCGTTACACGTAATTTCACGACGAACGAAGTATTCTCTTTCTTACTCTTTTGGAATCTCCAAGGCAAGTTTTGCGCCGGATCGTCATAACTTTCGTCACGCGTTTTTGATTTCGCCATTTTACTTCACCAAGAAGTTGTCCCCCAGCTGCGCTTTCTCGCGTCTTGCTTGCTCACCCTTCTTCCTTTCTCTTCTCTCTTTTTCTATTTCTCTAACTCCTTACTTTCTCACCCTTCTCTTTCTCTTTCTTCAAGCTTTTCTTACTCAACAGTATTTCTAGAATGGGTGCAATTAAGACGCCGGTAAGAGTGTCGCGTTAAGATACCGAAAGAAATAGTAGACCTCCTGAAAAATCAACGTTAGGGAGTAGAAATGGTGTAAGAAAATCCTCCCTTTATTTAAAGAAAACTTTCGGAAAGTCTTAAATACATATATATATATATATATAATATAGTTCCGTAAGTTAGTATCAATTGAATTGAACAATTTCATTGGTAATATAAAATAATTATTTCTTTAGATAACTAATTATTAATAATCTTTGACATAATTATCTCTAACGTGATCATTTTCACTTTAATATTTATTTGTATATTTCACCATGCGATAACGAACTATCGACGTCGTTTGCTCAAATGAGCGCAAATTTCTTCCTCGCTTCTTATTTCAACACCTGACCAAGATATCGTTTATCGTTTTCTGCAAATATACATAAACGTTAAACGATAGCAATTTATGGATAACGACTTTATTTCCGTAGAAACTCTTGCATACGCGTTGGATACCAGTTTCAACTCGATTCAGCAAGCAATTTTGTAAAGAACTTGTACGAGTCTCGTGGAATCGACAGCAATTATGCACTTAGCAATCGCTTCAAATGATACCAATGTGAATCTCATTTTCGATTTTGCATCTTTCAAAGAGATGGGAAATAGGAGTGGCCAATGTGGTTTTTGTAAAAAGTACGAATATAACGTGCAATCAAGAGACTCTTTTTAGTATTTTCAAAAATAAGAACAAAGGAATAACGAAAAGCCTCTTTAAAAAAGATTATATAGTCTCACTTTCAAAAACACAGCCACTATAATGTTTATTACTGAAGAGATACGACTGAAAAGAAAGAAGAAGAAGGTTCCTTCGTTCGTACGAATATTTTATTTCAAAATAAAACTAAACATTACTCGTAAATGGCAACTCCGTTAACTTTTGTTCGTATTTTTAACAACTAATGTTAAAACATAACAACAAATTATTTATGCACATATTTTTTTTTTTTTATGAACCGCTATATCGATACTAAATCATCTGAAATATATTGAAACGTTAAATGTATCATCTGACAATCATTTACTTTTACGTCATACGTGGATTACCTTCATTATGAATAAAAAAGGAAAAGTAATGATTGATCTCGATAAATCGAAGAAAAATAGAAAAAAAATCGTGTTTTAAACGTTTCGTAGTATTAACATGACGCCTAAGACTAGTCGTCGTATACGTCTTAACTCTTACAGATAATCAGGTTCACCAGGAATTAATAATCGAGCTATACATTCAACTGAGGCGAGAATGATAACGACTCCTTCTTACCTTAGCATCACTATTTCTCTCTCTCTCTCTCTTTCTGTTATCCTTTGCTGGACCGGTCGTCGTTATAACTGGCGGGATCTCCTTTCACGAGATTTACAACCTGCGCGACCTGGAAGCATCTCTTTATCGATAACAAGTAGCTTCGACAGACTGGTTTTGCGTTTCTCTTAGTCAAACGAGCATCAAAAAGAAACAAAAATATATATATATATATATATATATATATATATATATATATATTTTCTTTCGTTTTTTATTACAAAACAAAAAAAGAAAAGAAAAGAAAGAAAGAATAAAGTACGATCTATATTTCCTGTTATCTTTGAAATCATCATAACAGTTGTAAATCAATATCGATTGAATCATAAAAAAACTATTTTATCTACCGGAAACACAGAGAGACAGATAGGACATACATACACACACACACACTTTTTTGTGAAAGTTAATACCAATGTTTATCGTCTTGTATATCCGTATAATGCATGTTAGATAAATGTAATTTCGAGTTATTAAAATGAAAGTTCATGTAAAAGACAGTTTACGTTAGCTAAGTTAGAGACGAAGTACGATTCTATTTATAACTGAGTTTTCTCAGAGGATTCGTTAGAAGAAGATGCAAAAAGGGAAAAGGAAAATGAAGAAGAAGACGAATAAGAACAATAAGAAGAAGAAGAAGAAGGGAAAGATATCGAGGTGTGTGGTCCCTGTAAAGCTAAAAAGGACGATCAGTGGTATAGCTTTTTACGTGGGACACTCTCATCCGTGCCATTCGAAAATTCATTCCCCCGTGTCGGATGAACGAACTGACGTGTAGGACGAATGGATGGACGGATGAATGGATGGATGGACGGACGGACGGACGGATGGATGGATGGATGGCATTAAATTGAGCGAAACACAGACGAAAAAAACCCCGAAAGAGAGAGAGAGAGAGAGAGAGAGACACTCTCACGAGCAGCTAATTTTCCATCCGCAGATAATTCTGGATTCGAAAAGGGGAAAGTGGTAACACGTCTGACATTGCCCAGCAATCTCTCTCTCTCTCTCTCTCTTTCTCTTTCTCTAACACGTACATTACATTATGCAATCCAATGACTCGCAAAGAAATTGACAGTTAGAAAGACTTCACTTAGATACCGACAATATATCCAAGCAAAGTTAATGAAAAATTCGAATTATCGGAACACGGCGTTTTAAACGTTCAACTCTCATACCTAAATCGTCCATTATCGAACTTATTCCGCCTCTACTATAACTCGTCGGCAAAGCTTTACACACATACACATACATACACCAACGATTCTACCAATCTCTTTGGAATTAACCGAATTGCAACGTGGACAGAAATAAGTGATCGCGAGCGAGTCGACAGTATGACATAGCTAGAGATAAGCGAAAATGCTAATTACTGCTGTTGGAGATAAAAGACGGATCGATTCTGTATATCCGTAAAATGACTACTGCATGCTTTATGAATTGAATGGATCTCGAGGGAAAATCAGAATTTTACCTTTAACCTAATAATATTCAGTATTTTGTAAAAAAGAGACCATTTTAATGGACAATGAACTGTATTATCATCAATTAACGTTTAATTTTTAACCTTCCATATTTGAGTTACAGGTAATTTCAACTAATAGCATATCAGAGAATAAATAATATTCATTTGAAAAGAATAATAATCAAATTTTTGTGTCGAATTCATTAAAGATTTATTGCATATAACGTAAACGCATCCGAAAATATTGGACACTTTTATCAAATTCGCTTAATCACACAAATTGCAAATGACTATTTAAATTCAACTATTTGGTAATGAAATCTGAAAACAGAAAGTCTTTGGTATCCTGATCACGGACGTGTTCCGATCCTTTGCATCCTTCCTTGTTCATGATCCTTCCAGCACCAATGATGCTCATTAATGCAGTTCGCTTTCCCTATAGATATATATATATAGCTTTGGATATACAGGCAAATTCGCACGATTTTCGTGTACGTGTTGCATCGAACGGGGAATCCCTCGTTCTTAGTCGAGCGTTTAAACGGTCCACGCAATTAGGGAAGGCGCTTCACGCTTCATCTTTTATTCATGTTCCAGCCCTGCCAACCTTCCCTCCTTGGCTTTGCTTTCTGCTATCCTTCCCATTCCAAAAGATTATAACCGTGCCGGCAACGACACACTCTGACTCCTTCCACCCCTCTCTTTCCCTCTTTCTTTTTTTCCTTTCATTCTCATCTTCTCTCTATCTCTTCCAAATTCTCTTACTTGATGTGGGTTCGAAAAGAGTTTCTTCAATAGTGCGAAAGGGGGGATAAGTGATTTCGAACGTTTCGATGGACATGAAAAGAGAATCCCAAAAGTAAGACTTTTAGGGTCTTCAGAAGAACTCAGAAATCTCGATAACTAGAGTCTACCGATTCGAAAATCCTCATAAAAAGAGAGAATCAGTAATACCTAATTATAGTTACTTCTGTCGGAAATGTCAATCGTTAACGAGCACCATTTGACTTATATCGTTTCTTACATTGTCTCTATCTCTCTTTCTTAAGCCCAAATAGACAGAACTTTAATGGTTTACTTAAGCCTTCTATAGAAAAACAATTTCATTGATCCTTAACGTTTAACCACAACTGACTATAGATCTATTGATTTTAGGTTGAAAACGGAGAGCCTTGGTGGTGCTTGGTGTCCGAAGAATCAGATAACAAAGGAGGCAAAAGAGTGGTTGGAAATTGATCTCCACACTGTCCACCTTATAACTGCTACCGCTACTCAAGGTCGTTTTGGAAACGGACAGGGTGTCGAGTACTCGGAGGCTTATCTTCTAGAGTATTGGCGACCACGACTGGGCAAATGGGTTCGTTACAGGGACATCAAAGGACAAGAGGTAAATTCTTGGCATAGTTATTACAATACAATAAGAAATCTCTTTAGCTTTGATTTACAGACGATTTAAATGAATGTGTTAGTAAGGAACATTTAATACGAAATGATTCTATTTGAGGCAGATGAAAGATCAATCAAGCATAAAACGGTTCTAAAGAGACTTACTTAGTACATTACGTCATACGCTTGAAATAACCGAAGATATCAATAAAGCACTTTAGAGAGAGTAATATCTTCGTTGATTGGTAACTGGTAACTGGTGATAGAGAACACTCATTAGTACATCTAATTATATTCTCTTGCAAAAGTAGACTAGTTGGTAGCCTCTTTGAAAAGCAGACGCAATTCGCATGATGGAAGCTCAAAGCATCAGCTTCGTTCGTTCTGTAGTTTACTGACCGCCGATGAAGGAATCGAAGACCGAGTGGAGGGATTAATGTAAACGGCTTATCGCGAAACCGTAAGCTAATTTCGTACCGTTGGAAGCTGCCACTTTGTCGGTAGCCTGAACCCAGACGTACCTTAGAGATCGTCGAATCCGTTCAACGGTTAGCCAAAGCTATCTCGAAGCTTTAGGAACGAGCTTTTGGACTGAATCTCCAATCGAAGAACGAGCCATTACCTTCGTTGGAACATAAACCTCTCTCTCTCTCTCTCTTTCTCTCTCTCATCCATCAAAATCGATCTTCTCCGGAAAAGCTCGCCTTATTTTAAATCTCTTTCGTGAGTTTGAATTTTCACCTATCCTAATTAATTTTATCAAATAACAGAGTATTTCGAAATGATTGCAATTTAAATCGAAAAAAATATTTCTTTCATTGGCAATCTCATCGTCAATGTATATTTTTTTTAAATCACGAATATTCAAATTCTTCGTTTAACACGGTTACAGACAATTTTTCAATTAAATCTTATACAAACACCGATATACTATTCAATCTTTATCGCATATTTTTCATTCCCAGATAGACATTGAAATTTCAACTAGACATTCGATCGTTTTCTATTATTTACCATAGTTGAAGCAAGAACCTTATCGATACAAATTTGTTCTACCAGCGTTAGGATTTACTATCAAAACCCTTTCCTCCTGCCCCATTTTCGGTGAATAACGTATACCTAAGCACGAGATACTAATCAAGTTTCAAATAGTTCGAGTAACGTGTTATGCGTATATGAAGATAGTATTATTCTTGCCATTAGAACACTTTAAAGGTTTCAACTCATTGATAAACCCCCTTAGGCAAGATTTTATGCTTGATGCGTCCATCATTAATACACGAGGATCGTTCTCTCATATATGTCATTACCCTACACCCTTTTTATACTTTTATCATTCTCTTTCTTTTCATGTTTGAAAATAAAAAAAATTTAAAAAAAAAAAAAGAAAATAGAAAGAAAAAAAAATGAAAAGAAAAGAAAATGTTAAACGTTCGCGAAAAAGCTTAGCCGCTAGGCAAATTGGCTGACCAATCAATGCCCGTCCACTGTCCAGTTACGATCTCTTATTAATATTGATGAACCAATTGCGTTGGCGCTAATGTGCCAAGGGCTTTAACTCTACCTTTCTCTTTCTCTCTTTTTTTTACCGATCTTTCCAAGGGCGATTCGAACAAACGATCGGATTCATGATTATTCACTACTTTCTGATTATTAATAATCGTCTGGCGACCTTAAACTCGCATACTGATGTATATCACGAACAAATCTTTAGTCTCTCTCTCTTGATTAAAATAAATATTAAAAGATACCGAAAGAAAGAAAGAAAGAAAGCGATTGAGAAAAAATTTATTCTTCATTCTGTTCTAGAATATAAAAATAAAAAAAAAAATAAGAAGATAAGAAAAAAAAGAATACGATATTCGATAAAGCGAATCAAATTTCATCTGCGAAAACAATTTGAAGTCTTCATTCTTGCCTGTGGTTGATTCCCGTGAGAAATTGCTAAAACGTGGAATGTTTTAATCAAAAAAGATCTAATTAGAATAGAGGTAGAAAAAAGGGAAAAGAGGAGAATCTTTCTTCTTTTATTCTCTCTCTCTCTCTCTCTCTCTCTCTTAGTATTTTCATTTTTTTACCTTTTTCTTTCTTCTTTCTTTCTTTTTCATCTTATTCTTGCCGTTCGTTGTAGGTGGCAAACTTAAGTCACGAGCAAAAGCGCCTTCTCCTTTGATCGTTCGTATCCCAAATTACGCGCGTCTTCTCGTCCATCTTTTTTCCTTCTTATTTCTTTTCTTTGGAAAAACGAAGAGTTTAAAAAAAAAATAAAAAAAAATAAAAATAAAAAGAAGAAAAACAAAGGGACCTGAAGAAGAAAAAAGTAAATAAATGAAAAGAGAAAAACATATAATAGTAATAATTATAAAAGTAAGAATAATATTAATAATAATAATAATAATAATAATAATAATAATAATAATAATCATGCGATCATCAACGACGAAATAAGGGGTTCTAGCGGGAGCTTCAAAAGACCGACAGAAGTAATTAAGGCTCGTGAAGTCGGTCGCCTTTCAAACCTTTCCCTCCCCCTTGAACACGAGTCGCCTTAATAATAAATAGTCGCGTCAAACAGAACGACCTGGGCTCTCATTAGCCGCCTATATGTACATGCATACAAAGTTTATACATACATATATATACAGGACAGAAAACAGCAGCAGCAACAGCAACAGCAACAGCAACAGCAACATACAAACGCACAAACCCATAGACATTTTGTTGTACAGTACGTTTCGCAATACTCTTCATAAAACTCCACCATCGACTATCACGAGATTAAATGGCTTTTCCCGGAATCTCTAGCGAAGTAAATTTGTTGCAACTGCATTGCATTCTCGTAGATCAAACCGAGTTGCAGTCGCGCTATGCAGTTTCTGAGCAAAGTGTAGAAAATTGCTGCTTTTTTTTACCAAGTTTTCCTTCCCTTTTCTTTTTTTTCTTTTTTTTTTCCTCTGTAATTTCCTTTACTTTTGATAAACTCTCCTTTTTGTTCTTACTTTCTTTTTCTTTATTTTTTTCTGTTCCTTTTTTGATATCAAGCTTCCCGGTCCGTCGGGGATATTTTCACGTACGTACGTACGTACGCCGCCACCACGTTCCTAGACGAAGAGCTTTCATGACGAAACTCCGATAACAAATATTGCGCTGTTTAGCCGAGCGGAAAGATCGTCCTACGCGTTTTACACGCTCGTTGGCTCCTCCACGTTCAGGAAGGTCGTGAAAGAGGGGATGAAACTCGATGGAAACGTTTGCCGGATGGATGGACCCAGAGTTGTGGACCTCGTGTTCCGTGTCTTCTACCAACCTGCTGTACCATTTAACGTGGAAAATTGCAAGTTATCGGACTAATGGCGAAACCTTCCATGGCGATATACTTTTTTTGTTTTTTTTCGTCCATATAGTCTCCTTTTCTTTCTTTTATTTTGTTCATCTATTTTTCCACGATACATTTGCCCCGCACCCCCTGCCCTCCTCTCCACCCCACCCTAAAGGAAAGAAAAAAAACAACAACAAGCGGTTGTTGCATTTACTTTATTACAAGGATTTAAAAAAAAAAAAGATCTTATTTCGTGAATTTAATCTTTTTCCTGGTTCTTTTATTTTTTATTTTTTTTCTTGCTTTACTACTTTTTTTTACCGAGGAAGAAAATTATCGTAGTATTATTTACGCTATTACTTCTACAATGAAGCCTTTTAAATCGCTAAATCTACATTTATTATAAATTAAAAATTAAATGGAACACAGTAATGTGGTAAGGAATTTTCTTTCTTTTTCTTTTTTTCTTTTTTTCCCCTTTCCAAGCGCGGAGGATTCAGTCGGTAGAAGGAAAAGTAAGCAACTCTCAAAGTTAAGTTAGGTTTTCAGTTTAGTTGAAAGCATAATATATAAAATCCTAAGGTATAATATGAAAAAGCTTTTCTAAATAGTATACGCGGTAGAAGGAATTTTTACAAAATTCGTAGAGATATAACGTATAAAAAAAAAAAAAAAAAAATAAAATTATTATTTTACTTTTATTTGAAATAACTAAAATTATTCTATTTACTCGGCGTAAATAAATTTCAAAAAAAAGAAAAAAAAAAAAATAGAAAAACCCCATCATCCTTTTATTTAAATTCGTGTCTCCAGAGTGAAAGGAAGAGAAATAACTCTCATCTCATATATCACAGGTCATTCTATAAAAATTATTTTATACTTTAAACAATTTAAATATACGTTCAAAATTACTTTAATATTTAATTTTATTTATATATGAATATGAAAGATAGATAATCCATTTATCTCTTATCTTTTTACAAAGACTTTCTCACTGGACCAATATATAAAATATATTTTCATTTATGGTAATATGTACGTGAACATTTTGATATGAATTAGTTTAAAAACGATAGAAAGAGAAAGATAGAGAGAGAGAGAGAGAGAGAGAGAGAGAGAGGAGAGAAAGAGGTAGAAAAAAAATTTAAAGGAAATTGGCAAATTCCCAGTATCTTTGTTAACGTTCCTCGAAACTGACTGCTGCAACAAAACGCATTAGAATGACGTTTCTAAAAACAGGAGAATCTTGAAATCGTTCTACTTTCTGTTCCACTGCAGAACGCGATACTTTTTAACGAGCACTACTTCACTGAGCCGAATTATTCGCGTCTTCTCTTTCTCACACAAATTCTCGTTCCTTTTCTCACAATAATTTACGATGCTTAGCATGCGCAGGCGTATTCGTTAAGACGTTATTACCAAGCAAGAATTAAGTCACGATAATAATCATAATAAGAAAATAAAGCTTAAGATAATTTTCAATAGTTTTGAGGAAACATGTTTATATATATATACGTGAATAAAATAAACATTTCCGTGTTCGGTACAATTAGCGAGAGAAATGTCGTGAAAATGCATCGGGTAATTGTAATAATTGTTAACCATAAATTGACATACGTATATCCATGTGTGCATCAATGCATGACAAGCTCGTTTCTATGTTGTATCTAATTTTCGACGAA